TTTTTTTTTTTTTTTTTTTTTTTTTTCTAGGGTTTAGGGTTTAGGGTTTAGGGTTTAGGGTTTAGGGTTTATCTTTTTTTCTATACAGGCGTCTATTTTCTTGATTGTCTTTTTCCCAGCATTGTATATTATATATAAATAGATAGACAATTAAATTCTTTTTTTTTTCTTCCGTGTTTATAAATTAGGGTTTTAGGGTTTAGGGTTTAGGGTTTAGGGTTTAGGGTTTAGGGTTTATATATATATATGTGTACAGGCGTCCATTTTCTTTATTGTCTCCTTCCCAGCGTCGTATATTATATTTATATTTTTTACAGAATAATTTTCATGCAAATATACAAATAAAAAAAATTGCAGGAAAAGGGAGAGCTGTACTTGCTGCTGATCTAATCAGGAAAGATGATTTTGTTATAGGTACTCTGCTGCTGCTGCTGCTGCTGCTGCTGCTGCTGCTACTGCTGCTGGTGTTGCTGTTGCTGTTGGTGTTGGTGCTGCTGCTGTTGGTGTTGGTGCTGGTGGCGGCGGTGGCGGTGGTTGTGGTGGTGGTTGTGGTCTTTTGCTGCTGCTGCTGCTGCTGCTGCTGCTGCTGGAGACACATTTTGCTGCTAAAAGGGGACACTTTTTGTTGCTGCTAAAAGGAGACACTTTATGCTGCTGCTGTCTCCTTTTTGCTTTTTTTTTTTTCTTCTTTTTTTGTCTCCTTTTTAGAGTATAAGGGAGAATTATGTTCAGAGAGGGAAGCAAGAGAGAGGGATATAAGATATGATAGATCTAGATGCTCCAAGGGGTAAGTAAACCCTAAATTAGGGTTTAGGGTTTAGGGTTTAGGGTTTAGGGTTTAGGGTTTAGGTTTATACTCTTGAGGTTGATATATATGATTGATAAGAGCCTTTAAATCAGTTCATTTTTTAGGGTTTAAAAATTAGGGTTTAGGGTTTAGGGTTTAGGGTTTAGGGTTTAGGGTTTAGGGTTTATGATTGTGTATAGGAGTTTTATGTTTTATTTTAAATATAAAGATAGACAAATGAGTATTGATGCAACAGATGAAAGATTAGAGTTTGGCCCCGCTAGATTAATTAATCATTCAAGAAAAAATCCTAATCTTAAACCTAAGGTACGGTTTATTAGGGTTTAGGGTTTAGGGTTTAGGGTTTAGGGTTTAGGGTTTAGGGTTTGGTTGTATGATGGGGGGTGGTAGGCAGATAGACATGCATACTTCTGAGGGAAGGAAATTAGAGGGAATAAAAAGGAGAAAGAATATATTAAAGGATTATAATGAGCATAACCCTATTGCTTCTGCTGCTGCTGCTGTTGCTGCTGCTGCTGCTGCTGCTGTTGTGCAGGCGGAGGCAGTAGATGGGGATGGTAACGACTTGCGGCTCTTCTTTGTTGCCCTTAGGGATATTCATGAGTAAGTCCAATAATAGTGCATTAACACTATTATTCTAGGGTTTAGGGTTTAGGGTTTAGGGTTTGGGGTTTATGGTCTAGGGTTTAGGGTTTAGGGTTTGGGGTTTAGGGTTTAGGGTTTAGGGTTTGTGGTGTATGCACAGAGGGGAGGAACTTCTTGTTGACTATGGAGAGAGGGACCCTGAGGCCCTGAAGCAAAACCCTTGGCTTAATGAGTAGCTGCTGCTGCTGCAGCAGCAGCAGCTACTGCTGCAGCAGCAACTGCTGCAGCTGCAGCAGCAATTTATTTATTTATATTGCTGCTGCACCATCACCGCCCTACAGCAGCAGCTGTCAGCTGCTGCTGCTGCTGCTTCTTTTGCTGCAGCAATAGAGAGCAGCAGCAAGTTGCGCAGTAGTACCTAATAATAGGCCTTTTGCTGCTGCTGCTGCCACTGCTGCTGCTGCTGCTGCTGCTGCTGTCTCCTAAGCTGGATGTACAGCGGAGACAGGCAGCGCAGCAAATAGATTTATATCTATAAACAAAAGGAGACAGCAGGAATAGAAAAGAGACACTTATTTGTATTTAATTAAGAAAAAAAGGGAGACACCCTGCAGCAACAAGACACAAAAAAGGAGACACTTAGAGGCAGCAGCAGCAGCAGCAGCAGCAGCAGCAGGAGACACAAAAGGAGACAGGTAGCAGCAGCAGCAGATAAGAGACACAGGAAAGAGACACTTAATAAATAAAGGAGACAATAAATAGATGAGACAAAAAAAGGGGACAGTACAAGAGGTGGCTATACACCTAAAAGGAGACTTTTATTATATATAAATAAATAGTTAATTAATTAATTAATTAATTAATTATAGCTAGCTAGCTACCTAGCTAGTTAGCTAGTTAGATTGGTAGCCGTGGCTAGTTTAACTAGCTAGCTAACTTGGTCTGTATAGCTAGCCAGCTAGCTAGCTAGCTAGCTGGCTAGCTAGCTAGCTAGCTAGCTGTGGGGCCGGGGCCTCTAATAGGTTCGGGTGTACGTGCAGCTGCTAATAAGGAGCCTAGCTAGCTAGCTAGTTAGTTAGCTAGCTAATTAATTAATTAATTAATTAATTAATTAATTTATTTATTTATGTATTTATTAGGGAAGGAGGGTATGTAAGTTGCCTACAGCCCCAAAGCCCCAAATGTGCATGCATGGTGTATATACACCGGACGGCTTGCTGCTGCTGCTGCTGCTAAAAGGAGACAGTAGAAGAAAGGAGACAAAAAGTGTCTCCTTTTATTTATTTATTTATTTTACGTCAGCGTATACAGCGTAGGATACGCCTCGTGCTGCACACAAGCTGCTGCTGCAGCAGCTGCAGCAGCAGCAGCAACAACAGCAGCAACAGCAGCAGCAGCAACAACAGCAGCAACAGCAGCAGCAGCAACGACAGCAATAGCAATAGCAGCAATAACAGCAACAATAGCAGCAGCAGCAACAACAGCAGTTGCAGCTGCAGGAGCAGCAGCAGCAACAGTACCAGCACCTACAGCAGCAGCAGGAGGAGGAGGCAGCAAGAGCTGCAGCAGCATCAGCAGCAGCTGCAGCAGCAGCTGCTGCTGCTGCTGTTGCGATGAGTACACAGCAGCAAGTAGGTGGTGTCTTGGTTAGTGTGTCTCTTAATAAGCTTCGCTTCTTCTCCGGGGAGACACTGAGGTGTCTCCTCACCTTAGAGTCTGCAGCAGCAGCAGCAGCAGCAGGAACAGGAACAGAAGCAGGAGCAGCAGCAACAGCAACAACAACAACACCACGAGCAGCAGCAGCAGCAGCAGCAGATGCATGCGAAATAGAGGCAGTAGTTGTGCAGGTATGTGGTATATTATGCTGCAGCAGGAGGAGAGACACCGTTGCTGCTGCTGCTGTTGCTGCTGCATTAAGGCAGCAGCAGCAGCAGCTGTATAGACACCTCGCTGCCCCATGGATAATAACAGATAGTCCTGCTGCTGATACAGCAGCAGCAACAGCAGCAGCAGCACAAGCAGCAGCAGACCGAGTAGCAGCAGCAGCAGCAGCAAAAGGGATTCTACCGGACCGTCCTCCCTCATGGCCAACCCTCTCCCAGCAGCAGCAGCAACAGCAGCAGCAGCAGCAGTACCAGCAGCAGCAGTACCTGCTGCAGCAGGATCCTGCTGCTGCTGCTGTCTATGACGACAGCAGCAAACTGCTGTTCTTATCTGAGCCATGTATTGTTGCTAAGGACATCCGTCTCTACCAGCCAAGCAGCAGCAGCAGCAGCAGCAGCAGCAGCAGCAGGAGTAGATGCATCAACAGCGGCAGCTGCTGCTGCTCAAGCCACACCTGTTGCCCCTTCCAGCAGCAACAGCAACAGCAGCAGCAGCAGCAGCAGCAGCAGCAGCAGGTACCAAGGAAGGTAGCTTATGAGTATGAGTGTCTCCTTCCTCCCTTCTTACCTCCTTCGCATAGATCAGGGCAATATGTATATTATTTAGTGCTGCATGTATTTAGATCTCCTGCTGCTGTTGCTGCTGCTGCTGCTGCTGCTGCTGCTAGAGTTGCTGCTACTGCTGGTACTCATAAAGCTGCAGCTGCAGCAGCAGCAGCAGCAGCAAGACTACCACTGCATGCAGTTGCTTCTATACCCATCTGGCTTAGTGGCAGTCCCTTGCCTGATGTCCCCCTGCTGCCTACACTAGGACCTCCAATTATTCCTGCTGCTGCTGCTGCTGCTGCAGGAGCAGCAGGAGCAGCAGCAGCAGCACCTGCTGCAGTAAGAGCAGCAGGAATAGCAGCAAGAGGAGCAGCAAGAGCAAGGCTTAATGCAGCAAATCATGGGGCGCTGCTGCACGACGATGGAAGCATGAGCGATCCGCAGCAGCAGCAGCAGCAACAGCAGCAGCAGCAGCAGCAACAGCAGCAGCTGAAGCGGCAGACATCTGAGCCCTCTGTGTGGCAGCAGCTGCCCTCGCTGCTGCTGCCATTCACTGGCAGCAGCAGCAAGGGCCCCAACGCAGCAGCAGCAGCAGCAGCAGGAGACACCGAAGCAACAGCAACATCACCAGCAGCAGCAGCAGCAGCAGCAGCAGCTAAGCAGCAGCAGCAGAAGTGGCTGCTGCCGCTGCCGTTCCGTTTTGGCTGCAGAGCGAAGCAGATACTCCCCAGCAGCAGCAGCAGCAACGGTTGCTGCTGCTGCTGCTGCTGGCGCCGTAGCTGCTGGATGGATCCCCCGCAGCAGCAGCAGCAGCAGCAGCAGCAGCAGAAAGAAACAGCAGACATTATGCAGTTGGCCACTGGGCGTGCAGCACCGAAGCAGCAGCAACAGCAGGAACAACAACTGCAGCAGCACCTGCAGCAGCAGCAGCAGCAGCAGCAGCAGACGCTGCCATTAGATGATGCTGTCTCCTTATGGAGGTTAGGGAGACTCATAGAGACATACGGAGAGACACTTGTCTCCTCCCTTATTGCTGCTGCTGCTCCCCCACCAGCAGCAGAAGCAGCAACTGCAGCAGAAGCAACTATAGCAGAGGAAAATGCAGCAGAAGCAACTGCAGCAGAAGCATCAACTGCAGCAGAAGCAGCAACTGCAGCAGAAGCAGCAACTGCAGCAGAAGCAGCAACTGCAGCAGCAGCAGTAACTGCAGCAGCAGCAGCAACTGCAGCAGCAGGACCGGAGGAGGAGTCCGAGCGTTCCAATATGAAGTGTGCAGATGCAGCAAGTGCAGCAGCAGCAGCAGCAGGAGCAGAAACAGCAGGAACAGAAACAGCAGCAGCAGCAGCAGCAGAAACTGCAGCAACACCAGCAGCAGAAACTGCAGCGGCAGCAACAGCAGCAACAGCAGCAAAGGGGAAGGAAGGAAGGGGTACAGGGTCTCCATTAGAGAGCAGCATACATAGCGAGGACTGCAGCAGCACAGCAACAGCAACAACAACAACAGCAGCAACAGCAGCAACAGCAGCAGCAGCAGCAGATGGACTTGAATTACCTGCAGCAGCAGAAGCACAAACCCGTCGTACCTCTAGCAGGAGCAGCAGCGCCCACGACAACAACAGCAACAGCAGCAGCAGAAGCAGCAGCAGAAGCAGCAGCATCTGCAGCAGAAGCAGCAGCAGAAGCAGCAACAGCAACAGCAGCAGCAGCAGCAGGAGGAAATCTCTGACCCCACAGTTACAGGTGTTGCGCTGCCTAGCAGAGGGGGAGCACTTGGAGGCAAGCAGCTGCGGCAGCAGCAGCTGCAGCAGCAGCAGCAGCTGCTGCAGCAGCAGCAGGAGAGGAGACACATATAGAGTGAGTATAGAGGGACAGTTATTATGTAATTTATCTTTATTTTGTTGTTGCTGCTGTTATAAAAGGAGACACCCTGCAGCAGCAGGAACAGCAGCAGCAGCAGCAGCAGGAACAGCAGCAGCAGCAGCAGCAGCAGCAGCAGCAGGTACTTCCTTCCGTCTCTTTTTTAATTTTAATTCTTCTTCTTATCCAGTCCTGCATATAACAGCAGCACTTGCTGCAATAGAGCAGCAGCTACGTCCTCCCTCCTCTCCCCACCAGCAACAGCAGCAGGAGCAGCAGCAGCAGCAGCAGGAGCAGCAGCAGCAGCAGCAGGAGGTGCAGCAGCAGCAAGCCCGTATAGTATGGAGTGATAGTGACGTAGTGCTATATAAGGAGACAGTCTCCTTAATTATATTTATTCCTGCTGCTGCTGCTCCTTCCTTTAGGACTGATTTGCTGCAGTTATCTTATTCATTAGTAGTTAGATTTACTTGCCCTGCACTGCAGCAGCAGCAGCAACAGCAGCAACAGCAGCAGCAGCAGCAGCAGCAGATGCAGCAGATGCAGCAGCAGCCGCTGCCTGCAAAAATTCGCCCCTCTGATGTTGTTAATCTTGTGTGGGAGTTGCCAGTTGTCGTTACACCTGGAGAAGGAGCGCAGCAGCAGCAGCAGCAGCAGCAGCAGCAGCAGCAACAGCAGCAACAGCAGCAGGAGCAGCAAGAATGGTGGCTATGGGACCTGCAGAGACACCCCAATAGCACTACTTCTCTCTTTGGTGCTGCTGCCTCTCGTGCTCGTAGAGAGCTGCTGCTCTAAACCCTAAACCCTAAACCCTAAACCCTAATTTATTTCTTAAACCCTTTCTTCTTCCTCTTTTGTGTCTCCTTTTTTATTTATATTTAATATAAAGACACAGCAGCAGTACATTTGCCTCTCTCGGGTGTATAGGCAGCTAATTAGGGTGTACAGGCAGCTAATTGCATAGGGAAGAGGTATAAAGGATCTGTGGAGAATATTTAGGGTTTAGGGTTTAGGGTTTGGGGTTTAGGGTTTAGTAAAAGTAGAGGACTAGGAGACAATAATAATAATTAATAAGGAGACAATAAAGAGACAAAGAAAGAAAAAAAGGAGACAAAAAAGAAATAAAAAGGAGACACATAAATAATTAAGGAGACAGAGACAAAAGCAGTTAAGGAGACACAAAATAAGTGACCCCTCTAGCTGCTGCTGCTGCTGCTGCAGCAGCAGCAACAAAAGCAGCAGGCTTGGCAGCAGTAGCTGCTCCGCGTGCTGCTGCTGCTGCAACTTGCCATAGGCGCAGCAAGTGCTGCAGGACTGCTGCTGCTGCAGTGGCGTTTGCAACAGGAGGAGGTTCGGCTCCTGCTGCTGCAGCAGCAGCAGCAAGTTGCTGCTGCTGCTGCTGCTGCTGCAGCTAAAGGGCATTAGGGATTGCGTTCTCCATAAAGAAAGGATGACGATTTATATTTTGTTGCCATTGCTGCCATCTGCAGCAGACACAGCAGCAAAAGGAGACACATAGAAACACACATACTGCAGCAGCAGCAGCAGCAGCAGTTGCAGCAACTATAGCAGCAGCAGCAGCAATACAACTAAGGCCTAAAGAGATGTGCAGCAGCAGCAGCAAGCTAACAACTGTGTCCTTTATATACAAACAATTGCATGCATGCATGCATGCAGTTTGCATGCATTTATGCATGCATGCATGCATGCATGCAGTTATATGCATGCATGCATGCATGCATGCAATTGTGTATTACTTACACGGCCTGACTAATAAAAGAAGAGGAGACAGTTGGATAAATAAGTGTCTCCTTAAATAAATTTATTTTTTTATTTATTGAATTAAATTCTATAAAGGGTAAATTTGCTATACTAGCACGACCTGTATTATAGGCATCGTAGCAGGGCTGCAGCAGCAGCAGCAGCAGCAGCAGCAGCAGCAGCAGCAGGAGCAGGAGACACATAGCAGCAGCAACAGCAGCAGCAGCAGGAGACAGAAGAAGAAGAATAAATGATTTTTTTGTTTAACTTTTAATGTATAGCAAAATACACTACTCAGTCTATAGTAAGGATAATTAGGGTTTAGGGTTTAGGGTTTAGGGTTTAGGGTTTACGTGTAATAAAAGGAGACCCTCTGCAGGTGCAGTATGTAAGAAAACGTCTCCTTTGCTCGTCGCCATACGAAAGGAAGAGACAGGAGCTGTACGACGGCATATCTCTATTGCTAACCCTATATACACACAAACCCTAAACCCTAAACCCTAAACCCTAAACCCTAAACCCTAAACCCTTGATTACGAGAGTCAGTGGCACAATATGAATATAAAAGGTCTGTAATGTGCGGAAGACGCAATCCTTTGTCCCACACAACACTAAACCCTAAACCCTAAACCCTAAAACCCTAAACCCTAAACCCTAGGGACGTACCCATCATCTTGCGAATTTGATTATAGAGGAAAGATTGTCCCTCAAGATGAACAATTGCCACGGGCTCATCGTACCCGGGGAGTTTCCCTAACTTTACCTGTATAACAACATAAACCCTAAACCCTAAACCCTAAACCCTAAACCCTAAACCCTAATCTCGAATTCCCCCAAACCCTTCTTGTTCAAAGGGAAAAGACTATATAAGATCGGTGTTTGGTGTTGTAGAGAGACAGAGAGAGAGCGAGAGAGGGAGGTGGTGTTTTCTTCTCTTTAGGATTTAGTATTTAGTGTTTAGTATTTAGTGTTTAGGGTTTAGGGTTTAGGGTTTAGGGTTTAGGGTTTACGTTAGCAGAATGTATATGACGCTTAAATGCTGCTGCATTCTTTTCTTTATTTTTACTACGACGAGTAAAATTACGATAACAAAAAGTTCCTTCATAAAGACGTAATACTTTTCCTAATCGGTCCTGTATAACATAAACCCTAAACCCTAAACCCTAAACCCTAAACCCTAAACCCTAAACCCTAGAATTCCTAACATCCCCAAACCTAAACCCGAAACCCTAAGCCCTGAACAAGAAGCGCATAAACCCTAAACTCAATAAACCCTCAGACGCCTTTTAATTTACAGTGTAATGCCCTTTATATTTAGGGTTTGTAGGGTTTAGGGTTTAGGGTTTAGGGTTTAGGGTTTACAACAAGCTCCTCATCAGATAGTCTAGGTGGAGGGTTTGTGTAAAGATCAGCCCATTGAGGGGGAATCTCGCTAATGACAGGAGGAGCATCAGCATTAATTGCTGCTGCTGCTGCTGCTGTTTCTGCTGCTGTTGCTGCATCTGTTGTTGCTGTTGTTGTTGTTGTTGCTGCTGCTGCTGCATCTGTTGCTGCTGCTGCATCTGTTGCTGCTGCTGCATCTGCTGCACTTTGTTCACTCTTTGTAGAGCCTGTCTTTTCCTCTCCGTTTGTTGCTGCTGCTGCCACATCTCCTGCTGCTGCTGCACCTGCTGCTTCTGCCCCTGCTGCTGCTGCCCCTGCTGCTGCTGCTGCTGCTGCTGCTGCTGCTGCTGTGTCTGTGTGCATATATTGTTTATAACGAGTAATTAGATCCTTTCTTATTGCTGGTGGCTGCAGCAGCCATAAAGGCATTATATACTCATATACACGACGCGAGCAGCTAACCCTGCAGCAGCAGCAGCAGCAGCAGCAGCAGCAGCAGCAGCAGCAAATAAGGCACGCTTATGCAGCAGCAGAAGAAGAAACGTAGAAGCAGCAACAGCAGCAGCAAAAACAGCAACTATATAGGCAACAGCAAACAAAAATACACGATACGAATACCCTCTCAAACCCTAAACCCTAAACCCTAAACCCTAAACCCTAAACCCTAAACCCTCAACAGACCTGGCATCAAAGTTCTTCGTAACAGGACGAATATCATATAAACAAATATCTGGTGGCAGCTGCTGCTGCAGCCGCTGCAGCAGCAGCAGCAGCCGCTGCTGCTGCCATTGAGCTATGCTTTCCTTATCTAGTGTACATACACCTGAGGATAAACAATCATACTCTTCTTGGTCTATATCCAACTCTTGCTGCTGCTGCTGCTGCTCTTGCTGCTGCTGCTCTTGCTGCTGGTGCTGCTGCTGCTCTGGTTTCTTCTCTTCCTGCTTCTGCTCTCCCTGTTGCTGCTGCTCTCCTTGCTGCTGCTGCTCTCCTTGCTGCTGCTTCTGTCCTTCTTGCTGCTGCTGTCCGTCTTGCTGCTGCTGTCCGTCTTGCTGCTGCTGTCCGTCTTGCTGCTGTTGCTGTTGCTGCTGCTGCTGCTGCTGTTTATTAAAGGAGACAGGCCCAAGAGACAATCTTAATGCAACAGCATTTGCTGCTGCATGCACTCCTTTATCTG